CGCCACGTCGCCGTCAGCCGGCGCGGCTGCAGTCGTCCCAAACGAGGCCTCGGGGGAGGGGGTTTTCGTCATTGTCTGCGGGCGGAAGGCGGTAAATTAAGCGTCGCTTTATTCACGTGGCGGCCGGCCGGTACGCCGGCCGGCGGACGGACAGGCAGAGCACTTATCCTGAGCAAACAAACGGCACGGGCAACAACAACAAAAAAACACAGTTGCCGGTCGCTTCTTCGGCTCACGGACAAAGAGCTTCCGCTGCCTCCCGAGATTTTTCCTGAGCAGTTGTATTGAGTTCAGGTTAAGCGCATCCCCCTGAGTTGCGGCCGTATTAGCAAGTCGCACGGCTTTCTTTCTGTCCCAAAATCCATACCCGTCCGATGAGTTGCAGGCGCGCGCAGCGAGAGGCCGATTACGCAAGGTCGATATTGTCTCCCGATAATCGTGCGCGTAAACCCAAACCCGGGTCAATTTGCTTTAAATGAGAGAAAAATCTGTTGCAAATGGGGTCAGGGATGATATCAATCACGGAATAGCATTCACTTATGCACAAAGACAACGGTGATCATTTAGTGTTACCGCTTTGACGTTTTTTAGCAAGCGCTTATCAATGAACGCCAATGAAAACTGTCACTTCACGCACAGCACCGTTGTGGTGTCGCTACCAAACCCAGCTGCTTTTGTCTTCTCCGCACTGATGTCGACATGTGTCGCATGCATAATGTACTCGTCTTCTAGGTATGTGTTTAAATAAGCGGTGGCGCGATGGTTAGCGCGCTGTCCTGTGAACCTCGCCACCTAAGTTCGATTTTTGGCTATGATATGTGACATCTGAAACGGTCCTTACCCCACTCCACCACCCAACACCACTACCCAAACCCATCCTAACCAGCATGGAGAAGTATGTTCACACAGTTGCCATCACCAACAAATGGCTGTGATTAAGTTGTTATGAAGTGTCGTGATCTGTAAGCAAGCCAAAAATCACTGCCATTTTCGGGATATTTTACCACTACCCCGCAAAGCATACTTCAAGCGCACGCACAGACAAAGATCCCCCCTATAGCCTTAACATACTGTTGGGGCAAGTGCTGTTAGCGAGCACCTATCAAGGCCGGCACGGCACAAGGGGGGGGTCGGTGACCTGTACAACACTCGGCCACCTTTGTCTGCCCAGTGGCGATGTTTACACACCACACCAGGTACTCATTTGAGGCTGAGTCGACCTAGGGGAGGCCCAGGACAAGTTCACACACACTTATGTTGGCCGTGAGCGAGAATCGAACTCAGGGCACCGGGTTCAATGCACAGTGCGCTAACCGCTGCATTACCGGCTCCCCACGAGCGCACGCACGCACGCGCGCGCACACACACAAACGTACACGGCACGCAGAGCTGCTAATGGGACATCTTCACACGGCACACGATTATGCCGATTCCTGTTCAACCAAGCCGCCACCCCAGTGTGCGTGGCGAGTGTCAGCACGCTTGCTTGAGGTGCCAAAAATACACGGTCAGAGCCTTGGGTGAGAGGCGCGAAGCAAGAACAGAAATAAATTATCGTAGCGTGAGTCTAATTACCTCTGACTTTTCGATGACCCCGAGTGTGTAACATATGTTCAAGCATTGATGATTGAACGGCCGTTGCGTGTTTTACCACGAGTGCCTTCTGTGATACCTGGCCCCAAACAATTGTACAGTTGTAATACCTCGACTTGGCACGAGCACTCTACTTGGCATAGGCTTAACCACCTGAAATAAATGCTATAAACGCAACAAATTCGTCGGTAAACACTGCCTTATTTGGAGATTTATATAATAGGGCACACTTATTCATAGCACATAGGCCAGAGAGATAAGTGGGTAATAGTTGGAGACTATACTACAAACTAAACTAAAACTAAACTTTTTATTTTACCAGGTAAGGCCCACTGAGCTATATAGATCTTTTTCAGAAGCGACCTGGCCACAAATGATTGCCTAACGACGTGGCTTATCACATGGAAATATATAGCAGCCAGTCACTCTAAATGCATGGTGATTCTAAATGAAGAGAGAGAAAACGGAGAGCCCGGACATGAATCCACGCGACCACGGGGGAGAACACGCAAACTGCAAATAAACAGGCGTCAGGGTCGGGATCGAATCCACGACCTCCTGTATACCAGGCGAGGTAGTGAACATCTCGCCACTGTGGCGCCATGGGGCCTGATGAAAACTACATTTTCAAGACGTTTTCTGATGACCAGCCCTCAAATTGACACGTGAGATGAATGCTGGCTGCCATGTGTTAGTAGTTGGTGATGGAGAAGGCAGCAGGGTGTGGCTCTGACTTGACATGTAACAATGAATCGAATCTTGATGAAAATCGATCGACACGCTTATGATACGGGTATCGGATCGTGCAAATTACTTGCGCACGTCATCTTATTGTGACATTTTTACTGTCTCAGTGAACCAAACTGTACAAACGAGACGAATGTCAAACCGAGTAAAACATTTTTTTATCGAATTGCAACCCCTGCATCGTGACACAATCGAATCGCTGGATGGGGTGGGTGGGGTGGAAGGGTAATTTCGTTAAAGATCAATTTCAAGCCCAGCATCCAACCGTAAATATACTAATGTCTGAAGAGGAGAAAAACACACACAATTCCAAGGTTAGGCATGCACGTGCAGGCTCGGTCAGCCGGGGTTCAGCTGGCACGTCGTGGCGTGCCCCGTCTTCTCGCTTGGCAGGTGTCATCCTCATGGGCCCTAATCGCTCGCCCCTCTTGCCATCTCTCTGCGTCCGTCCACCCGACTGTCCTCTAAACACCCCCCCCCCCTGCCCCCGTCGGGCTCTCCGCTCATTGGCTCCTCGGCCAGCCGTGACATCTCAATCTGTCTGTGCGGCGGCCCCACAGGGACCCGCAGAGGGCCTCTGTCGCACTGTCTGTCCCGACAAGAGCAACAATGCCGACGCCTGTAATGAGACCTGCAGATGCATCGGACAAAATTAAACCTCGCGTAAAATACACGTTTTGTCGTTGTTGTTGTTGTGAGCAAACGAATGTAGATTTGTAGGAATCGTTGTGCAGCTGCGTTTGCACATTTTGTAAAGCAAAAAGCCGAGTATTTCTTGCCCAGACTATTAATAATGTATTTTTTTTGCATATTCATTTTATGCACTGATTTGCATGACGTTAAATAGTGAGCCAACACGATGTAATTCCAAAAAACACAGGATGAGATGTTACTATCCTTTGTGCAAGCACTTCCAAGAGTTCATGAACAGTGAGCCTGGTGAAATTTGGGGAGCGCATCGTCAGTAGTGACCCTTTGGTTCCTAGGGTGTTTCGGCCTTTCATACTATACACCCTCCCCAAAGACGGCCAGCGGCAGGGTGATCAATCCTACGCTTGCGTCCCATTCCCAATTAGTCATAGGAGTTGCCTTGTTGTTGATAGCCAACATCCCATGGGACTATGCATGGCAGGGGCGTCCTCCTCCCTGAGTCAAGCATTGTTGACTGCATACCTCCTGGCCCTCTCACTTTGGGGCCCAGCTGGGGTCTTTCCTCTTCATCCAGAGCCACTGACTGCTGCCTTCTGCCGCCTCCGATACAGCTCTGATTGCCGAACGCTGGCTCTGGCCCTTAATTCCCAGGTCTCTAAGCAGTCTGGTTGTAGATGTTGCCACAAAACCTCTGCAGCCCACCTCCACTGGTCGGACTTCTGTGTTCCAGCCATGATGCCGTGCTTCGGCAGCTAGATCGGCATAGCGCAGATGTTTTCGCTCTCAAGCCTCATCTACTGAGTCCTCCCAGGGTACTGTGAGCTCAATGATGAAGACCTTCTTGAGCGAACTGGACCAGAGCACCATGTCAGGTCTTAGGGTGGTGGTTGCGATCTCCGGAGGAAACACAAGTAATGCTTCTTTATCATATATCATTTGTTATTTCCAGCGGAGGCAGTCTAACAAAAACATCACGAGAAAATAAAAAGGAAATGTGGTTATATTATGCTTTAAGTACGAAAGCTCTGAATCATATGTCAACACATTAAGCTTGTTGATGTTAAGCATAGCCATATCGAAACGTCAATATAATGCGCGTGAGCATGCATACATTTAATAAGCAGATCTCAATATGTTCACTCGCTTGCCTCCACAGTGCAAATTCATTCTTTCACCACAAATGGTTTAATAACCGTGTGCGTGCAATGTGTGTGCCGAGCGATAGTTTTTTTTTTATTTCAGCGAGGCATCATGATGTAAATATCACGTGTAAAATTAATCAAATTTCACTTTGTCTCTTCACCTTTGCTCCCTGTGTGCGGTGCTTAAATGTACCCTCACCGTCTCTTCGAACCCATCATTTTCAGCCGTAATCACAATCAGAATATTTCTACTGGAGTAATCCGATGAGCTATGAAGCTCTTTTTCGCAGATGTCCAGGAGGTTGCGAGTCAGAAGGTTACAGCAAACGATACAAAAACACGATATGAGTGCAAAGCATAGGAAAGGTAAACAAATCACTTAAAGAAATATATCCAAATAAAACTAAACTAGTTTTTTTATCTTACCAGGTAAAGCCCACTGATCTATTAGCTTCCTTTTCAGAAGCTACCTGGCCGCAAATGATAGCGCAACGAAGTGGGCTTGTCGCGTGAAAATTTGCAGCAGAAAAACGATTTGAATAATCGAAATTCGCGCTGCTAAATGTTGAGGGGAAACGGGCAAAACTCCAAACATGCATGCGATGAGGCAGGGGAAAGGCGGCAGGTGGCCAGGTTTATTCTGCGCTCGGGCACTCGACGCCAAAGCTCTCCTGCTTCGCGGTGAACGTGCCGCTCCAGCGCCGTGTTCGGCAGAGGGACCCGCTGGGAAAATCTCTGCAGCCCCCCCCCCCCCTCGTTTCACCATTCCCGCTGGGGGGCAGTGAGAGAGAGCAAGCGAGCGCACCTGTCGGCTTCCTTGACGGCACCCCCCCCCCCCTCCCCTAACGCTCACCGCTCCGTCTCAAGCTATGAAGAGCGGTCGCGGTACCTGGAGGCCATCGTGAAGCAGCAGCGGGAGGTGAGCACCTTCGAGGACCTGGCGGCGCAGGTGTACAGCCCCGCCATGTGCCGCCCGCTCTCGTGTGACGCAGGTGAGGGCTGCAGCGGCGCCCGCACGCAGTCACCGGTCCCATACCCCCCCCACACACCCACCCACACACCCACCCCGCACACCCCCCCCCCACACCCACCCACACACCCCCCCACACACCCACCCACACCCCCCCACACACCCCCCCCCGCACCCCCCCCCCGCACACCCCCCCACACACCCACCCACACACCCCCCCACACACCCACCTACACACTCCCCCGCACACCCCACCCACACACCCCCCCACACACCCCCACACACACTCCCCCGCACACCCCACCCACACACCCCCCCACACACCCACCCCGCACACCCACCCCGCACACCCACCCCGCACTCCCCCCCACACACCCACCCACACCCCCCCCCCACACACCCACCCCCACACCCAACCGCACACCCCTCGTTGCCTGAACTCGAGTCGTGCTCCGCAGAGGGAGGGGAGGGTGGGGCATAGAGAGGATAATTAAAAACTATTTTAAAATATACTATTTTTATTTTACCAGGTAAGGCCCACTGAGCTTTAGACTTTTTTTTCTTCCCAGAATCGACCTGGCCACAAATGGTCACCCAACGAAGTGGCTTATCGCGTAGGCATTTATAGCAGTAGCCAAATACTCTAAATGTATGTTGATTATAAATGTGGAGGGGGAAAAAAACGGAGGACCCGGAGAAAAATCCACGCGATCACAGAGAGAGAGAGAGAGACACAAACTCCAAATATAAGCGTCAGGGTCAGGATCGAACCCATCACCTCGTGCATACCAGTCGACGTAGTTAACATCTTGTCACCACGGTGCCCTTTCTTTACAAACTAGCTTAAACACGCCCCCCCCTCCCCCCAAGGTGCACCCTACCCCTCAGCCACCCTCCCCCCCAGGTTATATTTGTGGTATGTGTCCGATGGGGGTGTAACCCGACGCATCCATTGCTATCAGAAGGTGCCCCTCTTCTAAGATGCATGGTCAGCGTTGAAAGAGTAGGCCAAATACCCTCCAGAGGGGTAGGGGGGGGTCTCTCCAGCTTCTTCTAGTGGAGGCCCTTCCTTGTAGCAATGTTGTGAGCAAGCAGTTGCAGCACTGCCCTTTTGCCTTTTGAGGTTCACCGTACAGGCATGAGATCATGTGTGTAGTACAAGACGGTGTTTTTGTTAGTGTTTTTGTACACAAATGATATCCACATATTCTTTGGCTCTTTCGGTAAAGTCACGTAGGTATAAAATACAATAAATCACGACGTTTCGGGCGCAACACAAGCGTCCATCATCAGGTGGGAAAGCTGATGATGGATGCTTGTGTTGCGCCCGAAACGTCGTGATTTATTTTATTTCATACCTACGTGACTTTACTGAAAGAACCAAAGAGCATGGATTCCTGCAGTCAAGAAAGCTTCAAATCAAGATATCCACATGTTACATTTATCTTGATGGGGCTAACAAACAAATGTACATCGAGACAAAACAATAAAGAAATGATGCAAACGGGATGACAAAATGGAGAGGAAACATGATTCGCTATGCCCCCCCCCCCCACCATGTCCGATTTTCCATGGCAGCAGCGTGGCCAGAAGCGGTGATGAGAGTGGCGGGAACCTAACGTGGCGTCGTTCATTTCCCTCTGGCGCTACCAGCGGAAATGCCAGTGATCTGTCAGGAGAGACATCGTAATGAAAACTATTTAATAAAAACTTTTTTTTTTTACTGCAAGTTCAGAGAGAGAAAAAAATCTGAAATTGGATTCGTGAAAACTGGGTTTGTTGAAGACGTCAAATTTAATTTTCAAACCGATCATAATTTATCACAGTAAGTTGTGAATAAATATAATGCATTTAAGTTTAAACATTGTTAAACGTCATCACGAGGTCTTTGGCATTGCGATAAGAGATGGCACTAGTTTTTTTTACCATATGTAATTTTTGCAGGTGGTTGAAGGATAGAATCACTGCTATATCTTGTGATGCACATCATTATTGAGGGCTGTAATTTTTGGGGTCTTGTGGCATTAAAAATCCCGTGTCTCTTCAATCACTGTAGTTCACACGAGCGTGCTACAATGCGGAGTCCCTCTCTCTGATTTTTATTTATGTTTATATTGGTTGGTTTACAGCGGGGACGACTAATCATGGGATGCAGTGGGTCTAGTGGAAATTTTGAGATGGTGGTCTCTTGTCTTTCCTTGTTTTTGTTGCAAGAATCCACAAATCATTACTAATTGTTAATGAAAATATAGAAACTGATTGCATTTCATCTCTGATCCTGTTTCGAATTCTTTGATTTTGTCCAAAGTAAACGAGAGAACCCTGGTTAACCTGTTATCGTAAGGAGCTGACCTGTGGGATTCTTCTAGCCAAGCGCTGAGGTTTTTTTCCCTCCCCCAGCACGCAAGATTACGATTAATTCGATTTATTTATTGTTCGCAAAATGAATTCGTCAACAGTGGCCTACCGATGTAACGTTCTAGCATGTAAAAACAAAAATCATTTTACCGTTAAGCTTTTGCGTCTTAAAACAAAAAAGGGGCGTGATGCTTAGCAGCACGCATTTGTGCGTTGCGTCGTTTAGGTGCGGTGACGCAGTCCTTCCTGTTGTCGTTACTCTTGTGCTGGAAAAAAAAACTCACGCGGTTTTGCCTGAGACGACAGCGTGAGCCGCGGTCAATGCGCGGTGCCGGCGACAGGTGGGCGTCTCAAGCGGTGCGATTTGCGTCGTCTCCCCAGTTTTGCCCTCGTCGCGGCGCTTGCCTCGTGCGGGAGTCGCTCACCACCCTTGTGACTGGGCGCTGCCGCTGTCACTCGGGTGCGATTTGTAGCTGTATTTGTTTTACGTTAAAATTTTGATTTTTCCCAGATCATTTTTCATAACGCCTTTCTCCCAAGCAGAAACAAAGGTAAGAGAAGGGGGCCGAGGTGCTCGCGAAGGGCCACGCACTGCCAAGCTCTCCTGTCCTTAACCGGCTTTTGTTCCAGCTTTTTGTTATTTTTAACCAGCACCAACACGGAGCACTTTCCCCCTTCCTTGTTTTCAGCTGCACTAACCCGATTGGTCACTAATTAAAGCTTTCTTTGTTTTTTTTTTACTAATACGATTCACCGCAACCCCAACAAAATAAGGCTTCGTGGGGACGGGGGGTGGGGGGGAATTAAAGAAAACAAAAAGGGAAACTTGGAAGAAGAGGTTGCACAAACTAAGAACAACCTCTGCGCGCCGGCGCTCGGAGGAGGCGCTCCGAGAGAGCCGCGTCCGTGAAAGTATCTTGAGATGAGCGGTCGATAATGCTCGCTCGGCTGGACGACGCCGCGAAGCGAGGGGCTGCTGGTTGCCAGGCATTGTGCCCCGAATGCCTCCGTTGATGCCGTTGATGCCGTTGATGCCGTTGACGCGCTCACACCTGCTGCCGGGTGCGAGCGTCGTACCTCGGGCACCTCGCTTTTCAACCGCTCTTTCTCTGCGGAGGGCCACTCGGAGACACTCATTAAAAGCCGCTTAAAATTACATGATGCTTGCGTAAATTATTCTTGCGCCCTAGATGTTCGATTAATTCGCGGTAGTTTATAAATAAACGGCAAAGAAGAAAGCGGCCGCAGAAGCTTGTAATTATCTAACCGCTGGCCTTTGAAAGCAGGCTTCATTTGTTTGTGGCCATTAAAAATGTATAACGAATATCCATAATACATTACCGCCTTGACTTCACTAATCTTGTGGTATTGTCAGAAAATTTGGTCTCATGGCCTGATATCGAATTCTGTTTTGGCTTGTCGGTCCCCTATTTGTGCAGTGCCGTAGCGCCGGTCGTGGCATTGTTTATTCAAGCGCTTCCAGTGGGCGCAAACCAAAGCAGCAGCATCTGTGTGTTCACCGTACACGCCAAAAGCAGCCAGCAGTTGTAACTATAATATTAATTACGTTGCATTTTGACTCGTGTGTAAGCGCGAACCCCACTGTCGCCAGTACTGTACGTACGAGATTATTCACACCTGGACCGCTCTTCTCGTGCGTTCGCGCGCTCGCTCGCTCACGTGCCTTGCAGTGAACGAGCACGACACCAGCCGAGAGGTGGACAGCCCCGCTGAGGAGGCAGACTGCGCCGAAAGCGTCTCCAAGCAGGCCCACGCGCAGCCCTTCGGCAAGCACCGACGCACGGGCAGGCTGCGCCGCATCACGGGCGCGGTCGGGAAGTCCTGACGACCCTCCGCCGTTAGCCGGCACGACGCCCACGGCCGCTGGTGCCCGCACAACTGGCGTGGCCGGCTCTCCCCCTCTTGTGTTTCCGTCCAGTCTATGCGCGGCAGGTTTGCAGTGCTGAAGGGAGTGGGGTGGGGGAGGAGGGCCCCCTCAGGGGCTCGTTGTTTTGCGTGCGCGTTAGCTTCCGTTTCTGAATGATTAAACACATGAAGTAATTTTGGTGCGTTATTTTTATTCTTCTGCGAGAGATTTCCTTTCCGAATTTCCGTTGATTGTAAGATGTACATTCCAGCTGTCTTCCTTTATTTTTTACTTTTATTAAAATAATTCGTACCAAAGCTAAGCATATATTGCCTTTTTTAAGAGTAAATTATTTTATGGTAAACAAACCACTAAAGCGTAATTAATAATGCATACTCATTCAAAGTTGGCAATTACATCATATTTATAATGTGTCGGTATAACCCATCTTTGTGATTGTCTCTAGTCAGTGCACACTGTGTATGCAGCGTTTGATAGTTGCGCTGGGGTATGTTGTTCAGCACCATGGACAATGGCACTCTTAAGGCTGGTCCTTTATAGCTGCAAGCAGTCTTTTGTTTCGCTCGTCAGTTTTATCAAATCACCCGAATCGCTTTTTTGCCTTATATATATATATCTCTAGTACTAAAGCAATGTGTGACTGGGCATATCACGTGTCACTTTCGTTGGGTTACGGAGTCGGCGAGAAGTAAATTAAAGATTAAAACCAATCATCATTCATCCCAAACATGTGAACCATTCACCACCGCTCAAGCTGTCACATGCAAGGCCCTGTGTCTTGTGGTCCTTGCGACACCTTGTCCGTATTTGCATTGTCCGTACAGAATGTGTCTAATTAGGGGTAAGAATAATGGAATGTGCACTTTTGAAACGAATTAACTTTTCTTTATTCGCAATATTTATTTCCTTCCGATAGTAGATTATGTTGTGTGATATACCAGAATATCAGCTACTCTCTACGTACACTAAAGCAAATGAGCAGACTGTGTTTCAATTAACATGTCTTTATTGTTAAGATACCTAAAACTGTGTGCAAGCTCTGCAGAAGGATTTACGCACAGTATGTTTTCTAATAAATATGAAGTATCTGAAATGCAATAAAAAACCAACTTGGTCACATGACAAGCGTTACTGTGAGTCCTTGGTTTGTGTGTGAGTCAGATTTCTGGGATAGAGTCTCTTTCTTTATGGTGTCACTTGGCCATCCTCGATGTAATTTTACAATTACTTCTCTGCAGTAGCCACGGAAGGAGAACAAACATACACTTCCGTCACGTGTATTAAAACAGTTTTATTTCAAACTTAACGACGCTGGTTTTGTGTACAACTTGGTGCGTCGTGTGGAACGTGATATTTGTGGAGACTGAGTAATTACCTTTTTTATTGGTGCCTAAACCAGTCCATACGGATTGCCAGACGAAATAGTTAATCTGCAAGTTCCTATTTTCATATCGCTCTGCCAATGTCTCGTACTGCCATAATTTGCTTTGCTCTCTCATGATTTGGTTTTATGCCAGTCAAAAATTGTCAAACTGTACAGCACAGAAAACATCGCATCAGTGGGCTTACGTGGTCATGTTAATCGAGTTTGAAATATGAGACCCGACCATATGCCTGCTCCCCCCGTCGAGACTTGGGGTATTTAAAGCTTAGGAACAAAATTGCTGTAGATTTATTTTTTGTTTCACGTATTGCGTCCACGTTTTTGTTTGTTGTGTTGCGAGTTTCGCTTTGCTCATCTGCATGCATGCGGCACTGAACGCAAAACTATTTTGCGCCGATATCTGGCTTTGCCCTCGCTCGCGGTAAAGAATTCAGTGGGCGGTGGAGGTTGCGCGGTTTTTGTCGTGTTCGATCAGCCCCTTTGCGCCCACTGCGAGGACATCGTGCGGGTCCCGTTCCCGTTTCCACAAACGGTGAAATCCCAGGCCATCTGGTGCTTTTTAATCTCAAGCAAATGACGTAAAGCCTTTTTGTTGGGAGGGGCGGGGGGGGCATGTTAGCTTACTCTTTTAATATATTTGCCAGGACATATAGGAGCAAATATTCTCATTCTGAGATCTATATGGCCAAGCAGTCCCTTTTTTTTATGAGTTTAACAACAAAAATGTCGACATATCACCGTAATTAACTTCCAACATTTGATCACGTTCTTCGATGTAATTTTAAATGTACCCTGTTTTGGTGGTTGGTGGTGGAAAGGTTACTGCACCACACTATACGAACCATGTGACCTTCAATTACTGGCCACGGCTAACATCGGTGGAGAGTGATATCCGAACCGGTGCTTCTCTTTCCCTCCCCTCCTCCCCCAGGGCCCCCTATCACCAACCCTGCAAAGACCGTTGTGGTGAAATATAGTGAAATCCCCTCCGACCGACACGCCTGTGGAGAGCCCTTCAGCATGGATTGTCAAAAGGGCTACAACTGAAACTTTTCTGCGTTCGCTCTCCGCTCACGTGCAGATATTCTCCTTTTATCGTAATATCATTAAATCAAATCTCGTTCCAACCAAAAATCTAGCGCTTCCCCCGTCTCGCTGCGTCTCTCCATCAGCCCTCTCGCTCTATCATCCTTCCCTCCCTCCCTCTCGGGGAAGCGAGATGTGGTGGAGGCTGCACAGTTTGTGGGTTTACCTTTGAAGGGGGGAAGGATGAGTGGCAGGAGGATGAGAGGATGCGCTCTCTAAACGGAGAGTCCGTGCAGAGGTCACCTGCTGTTTGTAAACTATTTGTAAATAAAAACAATCTTAACTTTGTATTTCAGGCCATCAATTGGATTCCCCTTCATAGATGAATGCCAAAGTGTAAATGCTGACGCTTTAAACACGTACGTAGTATGTGTGTGTTGTTGGAAGTCATGTTTGCAGTGCGAATGAAATCTGCGGTGAGACACGGCAACAGGACAGGAATTTATTGAATCGAAATCTATACAAACGGGTCTCAAAAACAGACATTGCTTTCCGCGATAAAACTTGTAAAACAAGAGTACAATTACTTACGTAATTAAGCGGTGACATTTCATGTACACTTTGGAAGGCTAGAATATCTAGTACACAAAAAACAGTAGCAAAACTGCGTTTTAAAAATAGGGCCTCTAATCGTGAATTGCAATAAGTAAATAGCCATTCGGCGTACAAAGTCGTGGGCCTGTGCCAAGTTGCAACGATTTGCACACGATATTTCCTAAACATGATAGATAAAACTTTATTTCCCTACTTGTACGAAGCTGCAAAAATAGTACATTCTACTTTATATTTAAGCACATCTATAGAAAAGTACATTACAAAATATTTGTTTTAATAAAATACAGTTACTACGCTTAATTTAATCTTCTCTCCGATAAATAGCAAAAAAGCGGTTCTCACCAAATATTTACACACATCGATAAAGCCACGAAAAGTAATATCGTGAAGAGCTCCCGTAACCTACATTTGGCTTTTCTATATGCTAAGGCGACAGTGTTACAAAAGCTTCGTGCTATAACTGCATCCTAATCGCTACGGGAGGGGAAAAAAAAAGCTGAGTAACCTTGTGAAGTACCGTGAATGCTCCCATTACCCTTCGGCGCTTCAAGCAGAGAGTTTAATTGAGCGGAGGTCAGTCAGCGGTGTCCCCAACAACTCTTCTCGTTGTGAACATTCAGTCTCGACGAAGGCTTTATACGACGTTTTTTTTCCCTCTCTCTTAAATCGACAAGGCACGTAACAAGCGCTCCGACGAATTTTCCTTTTTTTTCCGCCTAGCAAGTCGGCTGCAGGGGCATGTGCAACAATATCACCTGGCGGTTCTCAGATGGGTGGCACTTGTTGATGTGGCGCGTGAGTCCCGGGGAGCTGTAGAATGTCGCGGGGCAGAACTTGCAAGGGAAGAGGTCCCGTGGGTGGAGGGCCAGCCGCTGCTCAGACGCACCATCTCTGTCCAAGACGTAAGCCGCCTGCGCGGTGAACGCCGAGGCAATGCCACCGCTGCCGACACCGCCGCTCCGAGGCAACCCGTGCTCCAGCAGGTGCTGCTCGCGGCCCTCGGGGACCGGGAACACCTCGTCGCACAGCTGGCAAGGGAACGACGAGGTGACCGCCTCGACCACGGCCGCCTCGTGCACGCTCTGCAGGTGCTTGCGCAGGTAGGCGCGCCGCCGGAACTTCTTGCTGCAGCGCGGGCACTCGTAGGGCCCATCCTCGGAGCCGGCTTCCGAGGGCGTGGAGGCGCGACTCGGCATCTCCCGGTCGCATGAGCCGTCGCTGTGAGCAGCGCCGGCGGTAGCAGCAGCAGCAGCAGCGGCGGCGGTGGTGGTGGTGGTGGCCCCCGCAGTCGGCACCTCTGCGTCCGCTTTGCCCCCCGGCGTGGCGCTCGCTGGGCTGGGGCGCGGCTTGTGCCAGCGCCGGTGGGAAGCCAGGTTGGCCGGGCAGCTGAACACTTTGTCGCACTCGGGGCAGCGGTACTCGACTCGAACGATGCGCGAGCACCGGTGCTGCGCCAGCGCGAACGGGTCACCGTACTCCTCCTTGCACAGCTGGCACACGTACCCTCCCCCCATGGGCCGGGAGGACCTGGGCTTCGCGTCCACGGGCTCCTCCTTGATCCGCAGCCCCAGCACGGGCGAGATGGTCACGTTGTCCTCGAAGATTAACCTGCGCGCCGCCTTGGGCTTTTTTGCGGCCACTTTGCTACTTTTGCGCTCGGCGGGTTCGGGCGAGGGCCGCTTGGCACCCGCCGTGGGTGAGCTGCTCGGGAGGCCCGACCTCGGTTTCAGCTCCACGTTGCTTGGCTGCAGAGCCGAAGGCGCGGCCAGCAGCATCTGCTCGAGGCTAGGAAAGACGCTTTGGCCGGGATAGGGCGCAGCCGACGCTGGCGAACCCAACACCGCGTCCTCTCGGCTCACGGCCCTGGTGGGACTGTAAGAGGCATAGCCAGAGTCCGGGCTGCCAAACCCCACAGATGGCTCCTGGTCACGGCCAGAGAAGGCGGAAGAGCACGGCGGTGGGTAGCTGGAGGGCAGAGGGGACACGGCCGTGCAGGTGGTGCCCAGGTTCACCGGGTAGGTGCTGTCTGGCGGGGAAAGCCACATTACAGGGCTCAAGCCATTGTCTTCACCGGCACGGGGCCGGTAAGACATGGCACTGGACCTCTTGCTCCTCTTCACTAAAAATCCTTTCGGCATCTTGGCGACGTGGTTTGTGCAAGGCACCGCTAAGGGTAAATTAAGGCACTGCTGCACCCTTCCACCCCGCCCCCCCTCCCCCCCCAAAGAAAATCGCTTCGCAGTATGCAACACTCTGCGGGTTTAGCCCAAGCACTTTGGGGGCATGCAGGTGACGCTGTAGCAACGCGTGGGGAGGGGAGCAGAGGCTCGAGTCCCTCTGTGTAGTAGCATCTCTCGTGCTCATCACCTCTTATATGAGAATGCTTGTCTTTGTCTGACCACCGTCACAGATGGTAGCAAGGCAACAGCCAATGAGGACAATGAGCCTAAGCTGCATGGGTGGAGCAGATGTCAAATTTGGGTATGAGCGGGCGGGGCGTATATACAGTTAATAGTAAATGCCTTCCGTCTATCCTAAATGACCTGGCTTCTTATTCGCGGTGCGCCTGCAATTTATTTACAGCAATTTATTCCGCGCCGAATCCCAAGACGGACGGGCGTCGTGGATAGAACGACGCTACTGAGCCTCACTGGCTGGCGAGATTGATGGTCGTATTCCAATCCACACTCGCGCTGGGGGCCACGCCTCGCAAATCACTATTAAGTCGTGAAATAAACGCGCATTATTCCACCATACAGTTGTACGCATCACTCGCGGAATGTTTGCTCCTTTCCCTGTGTCGTCCAGTGGCGCACACGTGGGGTGGGTTTTGTTTTTATTTTTTAGTTGTAGAATTATTGTCAGCATCATCATCATCATCGTCGTCGTCGTCACTTGAAGCAACCAACGTATTACCTCTGCGCAATATGTCAGTACGGCTGGAGTGCAACGTCCCCCCTCGCTCGTTCGCTCGCTTGCCACGCGCCTCCCGTCACGCCGAATTCAGCACCGGAGCTGTCCGCGTGCTCGCCGCTTTGTGTGAGCAGCCCGGGGCTCCGCTGCGGCCGCGCCGCTAATCCACCGCACCGCTCCCTCCCTCCCTCCCCGCACGCACGCACCCACATCACCGGCAGGCAGGCAGGGTGTGGCGAGGGAGGAGGGAGGGAGGGAGGGATTCTCTCACGAGTCATTGTGAGCGAGCGCTGTTCGTGTTCGCCAGTGCTGGCTTGTCGAGAGAAAAAAAATGTTTTGCGTGTGTGGCACTACGTTCATGAGCTAAATGGCGATTTGGAGGTCTGTTCGCCGCGACGAGAGGGCTTCCAGGAGAGAGTTCGTGTAGTTTTTGCTGTTCAAACATTGAAGGTGCTCAGACTACAGTGGCGTTTTCTATACGGTCCATAGTTTAGGTTGCATGGCCACACTCGCACCGTGGCTTTTGTCTTTAATTAAAAATGTATTAAGGAGATGTGCGCATCCGCTTCTGGATGTTCTGATACGACCCGGAGTTCCACCACCAGAGGGGGAATGTCAAGGCCGATGATGTTTGGCTCTCGAATGAGGAGGTGTTTATTCTGAACGTCCGCGTCGCTCCACTCCCTTCGCCAGCGTTCTTCGGGATCTGGGTTAGATTCCAGGATGGTGACAGTAGCACGATCCGGGAAGGGGGCATCGGGGACTTTGATACAGCGGCGGGGTGATGTTGTTGAGGTCTCGAGGCACTGATGATGATGTTATCATTGTAAAAATGTTATGCCTATACGACGGCCAACTTACCCCTCCTGAATAATACACACCCGTTAAGATTGCTACCGTGGTGTAACGGTTAGCGCTGTTAAACTTGAAATCCTGTGGTCGATCGGCAGGTCGCGTACGGTGACGTCAAGTGCGGATTCTTCCACCTCTTTGAAGACGTCTGGCCAGCTTGGAAGAGTAGGCCAAAACACTCCTGAGAGGGGCTCCCCAGAGCTCCCTCGAGCGGAGGCCCTCCTGCTGGCAGTGCCGTGAGAATGGTATTGCAGCGCTGCGCCTTTACCACCTATACACCCATCGGATGATGGAAGCTAAGTGGGCTTTATCGTAATCATGACTTGGATGAAAGACCTCCTGGAGATATCAGGTGTTATAGGCTTGAGCTGCAAGATAGCCCACACGTGACAGTACATTAATGGATGTGGATTCAGGAATCTCCGCTGTGCGGGGCTTTGAGTGTTAACCCCTTGTATGCGTGCGTGGTCAAGCTTCTGACCTCTCGAGAATTCTGCTTTCTTGCAATTTTTCACTCACGATCGGAAGTGGCCAAAGGACCTCAATGCAGGACTCTCTTGTGCAATAATAACAATAGCCATGGGACTCGCGCGCGACATGTTATCCCCCCCTACCACCGCCAGCGAAGACGCCAATGCCACACATTATAGACTCTCGGGTTGTTAAAGGTGGAATTTTAACAACAACAACAACAACCAATCGCGTGAATGTGCCCGCGTGTGCGTGTGTGCGTCTCACAGTGGGGAGCGGTGGTTGAGTGGTTAGCGCGCTGCACTACGAACCCGGCGATCCGAGTTCGATTTCCGCTCACGGCCAACACCAGTGACGATTTTCTGAACCGGTCCTGGGCCTCCCGTATGTCGACTCAGCCTCAAGACGAGTACCCGGTGTGGTGTGTAAACATAGCCACTGGGGAGACAAAGGCGGTCGGGCGTCGTGCTGGCCACCCACCCCCTCGTGTACCGTGCCGGCCTTCATAGGTGCTACTCGTTAACAGCACTTGCCCCAACAGTCTGTTAAGGCTACATGGGGGATCTTTGTCTTTGTGCGTCTCACGGTTTTTTGTGCGTTTCACGGTTTTATCGTCGGAGCCGTTGATACAGAGAAGTTGCTTACCGCTCTGTGTACTGTACACAAGGACGTATACCCATCTAATCCCTTAATAGTTTCATTCATGCAGCGATTGCGATCCCGATCCCCCGCGAGCGGTACGAAGTCAACACGGGAACGCACGCACGCACGAAACCTCGCGAATTACCCACAGCGCTCCAACTATGCGAGCTCGTTGAGGCTCTTGGTAGAAGAGACCAACGGTGTTGTGGTGGTTTCTTGTTTTACCTTTGGCTAAATCGCTCGCACGGAATGCGTCCGAGCTCGCCAGATTTCAGCCCCTCGGCAGCGACGAGCCTGGGAGAGGCTCCTTCGATGGTTGAGGACTCGTGCGTAAAACATGTAGCAAGGCTGCAACTGCTGCTAGGTTCATCTTCTTGGTTCTTTCAGGAAAGTCACGTAGAAGGGAAATAATAAAATAATGAACAATAAAACATATAATAAAATAATTCTCACGACGTATCGGCCACAATGCAAGCAGCCGTCCCTCAGGTGAAGAACAGGTCTGTCGGAAAGACAGCGTCTGAATGAACACCACCAGACCTGTTCTTCACCTGAGGACGGCTGCTTGCGTTGTGGCCGAAACGTCGTGAGAATTATTTTTTTATGTTTTATTTTTATTATTTTATTATTTCCCTTCCACGTGACTTTACCGAAAGAACCAAGAAGATGAATCCCTGCAGTCACGAAAGCTTTACATCGAAATTTGCTCCTAGGTTGTTGTTGTTGTTGTTTTTGTTGTTTTTTTTGCAGAGAGCAATGCAGCATAACTATTACCGCTGTTACGCTCCTCGCATTGGCCGACCCGCCCACTGACCAGCGTGTCGAAGTATGGTCGATGTGCCCCCACGACCCGCACGGCGTGGTTATTAAGGGCTCCTATCATCAAGCAGCGCAAGCAACGGATTCACCAGAAAGCCTCCGACATGTTGCGGCGGGGTCACGCTTACCAATGACATCTGATGGAGCAGGCGCAGTGTTTGTTGAGCGCGTACGGCTGCAAGATGAGGTCCAGAAGGGCGAAGCCAAAGCAAAGTTTGCGTGTTTGAACAAAACGCTTCTGGTTAAAAAAAAAAGTCTGGAAGGCCGATCATCTGGATAGGTTATAATATATTTTACTGTTTTTACCGTGGAGATACGAGACGGAAGGTGATTTGTTGAATGTGATCACACGGCTTAGTGTAAAAAAATGATTTAGTAATTTGTGCACATTGCCTGCATGCATTATCCTTGCAAAATAATGTTTAAGTATATTCACGAATGGTGAAGCAAGACGGTAAATAATGGGCCGCTTTCTCGGGGAATGACACATTTTTTTGGTGGTCGTTTTACAAGTCTGGGTAAAATAAAATTAAAAGGTGCGGCCAGTCCATAATTCGTCTTTTTATTCTACATCATCATTTCAGCCCCGCTGGTCCACTGCTCATGTTATGGTCACGTGAAAGTAAATCCCTGCACGACACAACCAACGCGTTCGGCCAACGGAGCACCACTTATACGACATGTTATCAATTGTTTATGGCCTATTGTGACCAAAGTGTTGTTTTAAATCGTTTAGTTTATCTCAGCGCGTATCCTCGGCAGTTCTAAAGGACGAGGCAGTGCATGGCAATGTATGTGGAAAGAGTGCATCTGTTATAGATGATTCATTACACATCTACGAAAACGTTTGCTTCTCTTTTTTTGTGTCCCCTGGCTATTTAACAAGGCTGATTTACGTCTCTCCTATTCTTCAGTACGTTTATGTTGTTTTATTCAATTACAGAATCATTATCATCATCATCATCGCCACGACCATCATCACCATTTACCATACAGGGCCCCCCCCCCTCCCTTTATGCTTAATGGCCATCAGACAAAGCCCCCCGTGTAGCCTCAACAGACTATTGGGGCAAGTGCTGTTAGCGAGCAGCACCTATGAAGGCCGGCGCGGGACACGAGGGGGGGGGGGGGCGGGTGGCCAGCACCACGCCCGACCGCCTTTGTCTTCCCAGTGACGATGTTCACGCACCGCACCAGCTTACTCATTTGAAGCCGAGTCGACCTAGGGGAGGTTCATAACCGGTTCAGATAATCGTCACCGGTGTTGGCCGTGAGCGGTAATCGAACTCGGGTGGCAGCGCCGCTGAACGCGACACCACGGACATCGCACGCCGCTCCACACCGTGCAGCAGGCCACGTTGCGCCTCGCCGTGCAATTAGCATACAGCTGCAGATTACAGACGGGATTAACCAAAGCACAGTGTAAACCACTTAGTGATATTAATACCACGAAAAGCTCCAACAGTCAATCTTCATTTTAAAAGCGAATTACAACACTATGGGTCTTTTATTTGTTTTGCACCCCCCCCCCCCCCCAACTCCAACCATGACTGGTAAAATAAAATTAAGCGATGTTGTTACTTAAAACCAAATTTCCAACAACAATTCTCGAAACGACTCACTGGCTACGAACTGCG